GGGGATGACGTCCGGCACCGCATCCACGTTGAAGCGGGGATGCCAACGCATCAGCTTCTCCTCCGGCACCACCATAGGGGGGTTGAGGGCGGCCAGGAACGCCTGGAGAGGGGCGAGAGCTGCGTCAGGGCACCGTGAGGGGCAGGTACGGGGGTGAGGGCCATTGCCCCGTGCTCCCAGAGTGGATTGGAGCAAATATGGAGCCAAGAGAGATTTCAGCCCACGCCATGAGCATCCCATAGGAACCAGCGACGTCCGTCAGCCCATCCTTGGATCCCCTGCTCCAGGCAATGACCAGAGCAACCCCAGCTCCAAAAACTGGAGGGTACCAAGGGGAAAAAACTCACCTTGTGGTGCTGCTTGACGATGTTGACCAGGTTGCGGTGAAACTCCTTCCTGCGCTGCAGCAAGCGCGACGCCGACAAGTGCGGGCGGCCGTTCACCTTCTCCTCTGCAAGGAGAGACCCGAGCATCACCCACGGCAACGTTGCAACAGGACCCAAACCTCAGCAAGGACAGGATGAGACCCCCACTATGGGGCTGCGACACTCCCAAAATCACTGCCCTATTGCCTTCCTGCTGCCCCCAAAAGTGTTTTTCCACTTCCAGACCCTCAGGCCCTTATGATTATCTCATGGACCAAGCAGAGAGCATCCCTGGGGATTCAGGGATCCCAGTGTGCCCCAGTTCCCAGGAACCACCCTCAAATTGTACGTACCATCCCCCAGCACCGGCTCCAGCGTGAGCTGGTAGTCAGACTTCTTCACGCCGCTGCCGAAGGTGGGGATGTTCTTCTCCTGGCGCAGGTGGTACGAGGTGGGGTAAACCGCCTTGATCTGCCCCACGTGCCGCTCCTCAAACTGCCTGCAACAGCACCCACGGCGGTCAGGGACCACCAGGGTGGTCAGGAACCCCCTTAGGGCATCGTCCCCCCAACAGTTGGGTCCCCAAAACTGGGCTGCCGACTCACTTGCGCATCATGTCCTGCACCCCCTGCTTGACCTTGGCAAAGGTGATGGTCTCGGCGCGGTTGAAGAGCATCCCGGCGATGGTGTCCACGCTGCGGAACATCTCTGCCAGGACCTTGAACTTGTAGGGCAGCGTCAGCCCCAACGGCAGGTCCTGCGCGAGGGCGTGGAAGCGCTGGTACGCAGGGACCTTCTCACTGCCAAAAAAAATAGGGGTCAGGGCACCCCCAGCACCCACAGGGTTGTGGTTGACCATGGTGCTGGGATGGGGGTCCCACTGCCAAAAACACTGGCCTAGGAGCTGCGTGCTCATCCTGGTTGGGGGAGATCCGCCCCCCTGGGGATGCCCCAATGCTCACGGCCGAGTCAGCAAGGCTGTGGCAGTCACCAGGACAGCCCAATTCCCCCCCAAATCTTAGCCTGCATCCCCAGAACTGCTCCTCACCTGGCCTCTGCTGCAGGTGGTGTTGCCCCAGTGTCCCTCTCCGCCTGCACTCCCAGTGTGGCTTCGCTTCCCACTTTCCTTTCATGGATCCGCAGCTCCAGCTGCCGAATTCGCTCCAGGCGGCTCCGCAGGTGAGGGCTGAGCCCAGCAGG